TAACTCGGAAAGTTACGTCCTACGTGTACACGAACAATCTCTGTTCAGTTTTCTAAGAGAAAGATGCAATGTTCTGGAATAATTAGCTAATTACCATAAGAATATTCGTGTGACTCGTTTGGTTTTCAATAACACATGAACACATGCATTATTCCTATGAAAACAACTTTAAAGGTCTTTAAATAGCTATTGGGGGCTAACTCGAAAACCTTTCGCTTCTTTTAGCCTCTAAGCTCTTTTTTATAATAATAACTTGCTTTCTCCTCTAATGTACCTAATATCTTCCATGTAAATTCCATGTAAATTTCTGAGCCAATAAAGATTATTGTTAACGTTACTAATGGACAGGAGAGATCTGAACAAGACACCTGCGAACAGCTGCAACAACCGTCAATACAACTGAACACAGCTGATTGGGTATTTACATTATATTTCAGTTTTCTTTGGACTGGTAAACTTGAGCAAGAAAGCTTTTTTTGTTACTTAAGCAGCAGCTTCTTTTAATGGAGCAAATAAAAACATTTTCATGATGATTTGCATTCTAAAAAATAATCTCACAAATGGTGGTCTTAACTGTATGCAAATTAAAGACATTTTCAAGGGTCTGTTTATTCCCAGACGCACATAACATAACTTGCGTAACAAATCGATTACAATACTGATCTTTCAGGCTCTTAGACTAAAACAACGAGCCATCATGGTTTCTGACAAAATAGCAACAAATAACTCACAAAATTCTCTTGAGCTCGTAGAAGCGTGACAGATACGCGTGCATGCGGGTTCTCAAATGTTCTCTTATGAAGAGCTTCTTAAAAATATTGCTCGAAGATACATGCATATAAATTTCACTAAAACGAAACGTCTTTCGATACGGGTTCACCAATTCCTTCCCTGTTTAGCAGAAAATTAACGGAAGGGAAGTTTTCAACACGATACAGCTGAAATAGCAACGAATTCCCCGTAGTATTTACTGGTCTCGGGATTCGTTCATTTCGCCTCTGGTTCGGTGTTTTACAGGCGTCCCTCCAAACTTGAGTTGAAACGTTATTCCTTCGTTTTTGTTTTTCACTCTAATATCAGTCAACTGACGGTCAAAATATCGTACAGCATACTCGAGCGATTGTCTTATTAATTTCAGCCTTACGCGGGCTAAATCGTACGCTCAGATCTAGCGAACAAGTTAGTTGGTTACTAGCGTGACACTTACTTGTTATTTGTGGAGTTACTCGTCGGCGCTGCTGTTGTTGGTTCCATATAGCTTGCTACTTCCAAATACAGGTCAATAGTTCCCTGTAGCACACTCTCATCGAGGCCAGTTGTGTTTGCAATGAAAGGCAACATAGTCCCATTGTGGCGGATTGTCGTAAGCATCTCGCTCAGAGTGTAGTTTCTGGAGAAAAATTGCGGATAGTGGAGATAAGCATTGAGAAGGATTTGACCCAGGACATCAGCTGAAATACCAGACATTTTGAAGATGTGTTTTTTTACTGCAAGTTTCTCTGTCAAATGTACTTTCCGGCTCGTCGTTAATAAGCTTACTCAAGGGGCATGTTTACCAGAGCCCTCTATTTTGTGGCCAGCGTCAAGTATCCAGATGTCACGCAATTTATCATGTAACGCAGGATGTAACGAAACCGTCTAATCACTAATCGGGTCAAAATAAGACCTCGAGCTGATTTGTTCTTAATTAATTCAACTACAGTCATGCCAGAAGAAATCTTATCAGCCATTGAACGCTGTTGAAAAATCCATCCTTGAGTGGAGAAAAAGAACTGATTTGAAACGGTGTGACATGGTCTATAAACGAGAAAATCATGTCTATCTTTACTAGAAAGGCACTTGATGTCATTTTACTAACAATGACATTACAAACTGATATAATTACTACTGGCACCAAAAGGAGAGAATATTATCTTAAACTCTCGTTGCTTAAAACGAGCAAGGACGCGAAACGAAGATAATGAAAACGTTCTGTCGCATTTTCAGTGGTCCCTGATTTTGTCCAAGTTTCGCGCACTTTGCCCCGATTAGCTGTTTACTGCCAGGAAAGATAAAAAGGCTTCGCCCGAAATCCTATTAAGAGGCCAAGAAAGTGAGCCGAAAAATCACGAGAAATGGCTTTCCTCTGCTATTTTATTTCTTCCTTTTTTCCGGCATCCCGGTCACTTGGTTTCGTAACAATCTAACAGTCTACGGACGACTTTTGTGGAGCAAATAAATGCCACTACATGTAGGTATTTACTGTAATTTATGAAATAGACTCGAGTGCTAGCTTCTTTTTAACATATCGAGTCACCTTAACACATTACCAACGGTCTTATAACAAGGACATAACAATTTATTTCAAATAACGTTCATCTAAAATACAATGTACCACAAGGCCTTAAATGGTGTCTGTATTGTCTGTGAACTATCAAAGCACCGTTTCGCGTCCGCGCAGACACCTGTAGACCGTAACTTGAACTGTGGCTTGCTCTGTAATCACAATTTGGCGTCTTCAACCCCAGATTTGTCATCATTTTCACCCTCGCGTTGGTTATACTGAACTAAGCTTTTTTGTATCATAACTTGAAACGCTGCAAATGGTGACTTTTGAACGAACAAGTCTGGCCGCCGGTGCTCCTGAAGTGATGGGTTGTTATGTAGAGTAAGAAGCAAGTGCCATCGATTACGCACTCGTCGGTATTTGTTCCTTCTGAAACTGTTATCAAACTCAATGCTAACTTGGTGACCTGAAAACGAAAAGGTTTTTTCTTATCAAAATTTGATTGAATCCAATTAAGTTTATGGTCACCGAAAAGGGCATTTTGTGAAAGAAACAAACATCAGAAGCAGAGGAGGAATGCCTTGCAGTAACAAAAGAGTTCAGACCAGGATACAAATGAACAAGGACAGCTAAAGTAAAAATTACAATGTAAAAAATTGTTTTACAAGTCGGACTAAGTGTAAATGTAAGTTGCACAAATCATGATAAACGTCGCCTGGAAATGACAACAACTTCGCAGCTACAAAGTACAGCTATACACTTCAGTGCTAATGGTAGGAAATTATACTTGTCCCGGAAAGCCGATGGCACTTTTTCAGAGCCCTGTTGCGGACTAATAATTAACGAAGGAATAAAAGCACAACGTCTTCCTGTATTCCGTTACAAAGATCATAGCATATTCACTTCGCCCCAGAGAAGGCCTTCAGAAGCACAAGCCACAGGGGAGTGTTCTCCCAGCGATTCAAATAAAATGAAAATAAAGAAGTAACAGATCTCAGAGGAACAAGGCACGTGACCATGACATTTTGGTATATTCCTTACACCAGAATCTATTGACTCCCGCCTACAACACTCTGATAAAAAAATTACAACTGCCTCGTTCAGATGCCAACTTTTTGAGTAAGAACGCTGCTCGCAGCAACATAAGTTTTGCCCTTCTCCACAACCAAAGAAAATGTAATACCAAACAGAAAGGGTGCTGAGCGGGTGATCCTAGTGCGGGCTTGCTGGGGAATGATGACAACGATGACCATTTTATTTTGAACAATGAGATATTTCAGATTACCGCGATAACATTTCACCCATTACAAAATGAAACTTTCTCTGATCTGTTGTGATACTAATAAATGATGAACAACTATTGATGACTATCAAAGAACCTATTAGTGAACACACAGTACATGTAAACTTACTTGAACACGGCTCATTCTGGACAAGATCCACAGAAGCTTGTCTGTCATTAATTGTCTTGATCAGCAGCTGACAAAATGTTACCAGTACTGGATTGGAGTGAGTGTGCTCCAAAAGCAGATATCCCACGTACGCGTTAAAACCTGACAAGAAAATGCAAACTTGCACTGCGATACTGATTGTAAATATAATGACAGTAACAGCTTTCACAATTAAAGCGGCCGAGGTGCAAAATATTCACGCGATTCTCCTTTCTGTGAGCATCCACTGTTTTGAGGCCGGTTTTAAATGAAGACAGCTCCACTCGTTTTTAAAAAGTGTACAAACTGTTCCATATACGGTTTGTGAGGAATACAATTTAGAATTCATTAGTATGGGTTATCAAATGGTGACGAGTGAAATTAGGAAACAATTTCACGCGGGTTTTGTCCAAACTTTTATAATTTCCCGATCCTTTAGGTGAAAGAAATTATTAGAATTTTGAGATGTCCTATAATTATCCAGTTATCAGTTAGACTCAGTTTATCTGCTACGAGAGTTGTGCCAAACGACCTCACTAACTCACCCCCTCCCCCGCCCCAAGACAAACAAGACAAGATAAAATAATCGTTGCCAGAGGATAATATAAATTTGATAGGTACTACAGCATAATGGGCAGAGTCACTGTAAGAGAGGTGAAAACTTTATGATTATACACGTTGATTATTATTTAAAGACTACAATCAACACAGTGTCAATTGACAATGACGGGGAATCATTTTATATTTTTCGAGGAAATTAAAACGTTCGACACAAACCTGGATCCTTCAACTCGAAGTCACGTGATAAGACACTTTTCTGTGTCCGTCCAAGGAACATCACGCCAAGAATAGCACCAATCAAAATACGTTTCAGACAAGAAAACAGACCAAGGAAGATGTTGAAGAAAAACAGAAAAAACGTGAAGACATGGAACAGACGCCTGTGAACAAATAAAAACAAATGGTACAAAAAAAAAATTAAAAGAAAACCAAACATCAACAACAAGAAACGACTAAAAAGTAGTAAGTGACGATTCAAGCGTTTAAGGAACTGTCCACAGGAAACATAGATAGGATCATTCTGGGGTCACATTTTCCTTGCTTCGAGTTAATATACAAACGTATGATACACGGTATGCATATGACGCGTTTTCAGGGTCAAAATTAAAAACTAACTTTTCCACCTTTCCTTACCTGC